GCACTGCGGGAAGCCACGATCTGTTTTGCAGGGGATGCGAAGCCGCAGACGCGAGGCGACGTGCTTAGGCGCGCTGCGTAAGGAAAATAGCGCGGGACTGCTACATTTTTACAGGGGCGCTGTTAAGGGCTGGGTTCTCCAGGATCGTGTCCGGTACCAAACAAATGTCGACACAAAACTCTGGACAGCTACCGCCATCTATGACGGCGGCCCCCAGACAACCGGCTTGCCGGCCTCGCTCATAGATGGCGGCAACCTTTCCACTCTGGTTTTCCCCAAAGTGGAAAGGCTGAATTTCTCTAGGCGTCATCCTAGATGTCGTGCTCTAGGTCGTCCTTGAGTTCGTCCTAGACGTTGTCCTTGAGGTTGTCCAAGAGGTCGTCCTAGAAGCCATCCTTGAGGTCGTCCTAGAAGCCATCCTTGAGGTCGTCCTAGAAGCCATCCTTGAGGTCGTCCCAGACATTGCCCTCGAGGTCGTCCTAGACGTTGTCCTTGAGGTCGTCCTAGAAGTCGTCCTAAACGTTGTCCTAGACGTCGTCGCCCCTGAGGTCATCCTCAAGGTCATCCTCGAAGTCGTCCTTGAGGTCATCCTAGATGTCGTCCTCCAGGCGTCATCCTTGAAGTCGTCCTAACATAGTACAGTTTCGCTGGCCTTCCTTTGTCACCAGAGGAAAGGCTGAAAGTTTTTGTTGTCCATACAACACTGGCGAACAATGGAACTTCGCGTCCATGGTGGCAAGAAGTTCAAGATAGTGTCCAACTAGCGTGTCGAGTCCTTCTATGCGTAATCCTTTCGTACGTTTTGACACCGTACCAACGGGCTCACCTCAAGAACAGAGCGTATTTATTACACGCAAATCGTAGCTATGATTTGGCTAAAGGCGTTTCCAATTTCCGCACCGCACATATCCACGTCTCCGAACGCGTCCGAACGCCGGCGTCCTGCGTTTCGAGAGCAAACACTCAGTAAAGACAAAGGACAGCTAGCTTTGAGTCTACCCTCTAATCATTCAAACCAGAGTTCGGCGTTCCGCCGTCCTCTCCTCTCCCACAGTTTCTGCCCGCATTGGTATTTCACCCTAATCGTAGTCCCGTTAAAATTGATCTCGTTAGTTCCCCGACAAGGAGCATTTTATGCTGACCGTGTAAAACAGTACGAATGGAAATTGTATTTCGACAAAAACCCCGAGACTGGGACAAAAAGGGACGGACAAACACAAAGTCTCAAATGAGACTTTGTGTTTGTCAGTCCCTTTTTGTCCCAGTCTCGGGGTTTTTGTCGAAATGTTTAACCACCACCAGCTCGTTTGCGCCCTTACCTTTTGTTGGAAATTGTACACTGGCAACACTTCTTTTATACATCGTACCGTTAGTTATACAAGCTCGATGACGCCGATCGAGACAGGGGAGCACAAAATGTGTTGAGCGCAAACTATGCGGAGTGCAAGTTCGTCTGCTACTTTTGCAGGCGCTGTGGTGACGTCAGAACACCGGTCTCTGATTGGCCCTGGTGGAAGGATAGTGGGTAGAACGCGAGGCAGCATACTTTGAGGTCTACCCACTATTCTTCAATCAGAGCCAATCAGAGCTTGGCGTTCTGACGTCACCACAACTCCTGCAAACGTTGCAGACGAATCAGAATTGATTCGTCTGCTACGTTGCTCTGTGGCCAAGCGCTCTCCTCCTTCTCTTCTTAGTCCTTAGGACTTTTTAAAACCACCGTCTAGAGTAGCAGACGAACTTGCGTTCCGCATACACATATATTCTGGATGAACTAATCCCCCCGTTACACGGGCAGCTTTAACCGCGACTAAGTCACCTTGAACTGCGGTTATGACTATTTCAGAAGTGAAGAGTGCGCAGATTTGATGGGCGCCCAAGATGCGCAAGCGCACGTGCGCCCGTAGCTAATCTGACTGCATAGCCACAGAAAGTGGTCCGCGAGAATTGGTGACGTGTGCGACCAAAAGCGCCGCTGTGGTCTTGGCCAAACGCTCCCTACGACGTCTCGAGTATGATGAACTCTACTTTCACTAATGGAAATAAGAAGGATGCTAGACTGTGAACTTCGACGGTGTTGAGTTTAGGGACGCGATTACCGCAAGATTTCACCGCGCTTTTTACACGCACCGTCGAAATTGTAGCTGCCAATCAATAATCCGGATTGTGACGTCGCAGATAGCAGCCAAAAGAGGGAGCCACCGAAACATCTCGTCCCCAATGGTGCTAGGTGTGACCGTGTCACGAGGGTATTAGAGACCGGTGCGACTGTACCACGGTGGAAGAAATACATTTTGGTGATGACTCTCTGCCCGACGCGGCGACCACATTATCTTCGGCGCATCGAGCGCTTCACTCGCACGGGGATAGATGGCTCCAAAGTATGGGATCCCTCCCAAACCGACCGCTCCGGTTGTTTCTCCCAGCGGTGGTCCCGTATTCCCTCGCTCACCGATTCTTGTTGTACCTCACCGTCGACACGCCGCCACCAAGTCGCCAGAGTCTGTAAATCTGTGTTATCTTCCTTCTCCTTCGAGTTAAGGCTCACCTTCGTGCGCGACGGTGGCACCTGTGATCGACACAGCACCAAAGGAAAACACGAGGCCAGCCCCTAACCGCACACCAGCATTATACCGCGAAAAAGGCGAGCACGCTAAGCCGCCGACACCATGGCCACCGAGGAGGGACCTCATACCCACGATGCTCATAGCTCAGCGCCCTCCGCGGCGGCGCGGAACTAACCACTCCTGGTACGGGGCTAGCTCGGAACACGGTCTGGTCGCTCGCTCCCCGCGGGAAGAGCGGCCAGAGTCATCACCTAAATATATTTCTTCCACCGAGGATTGTACGCATATACACGTCGTGCCCACGTCATATGACCCCGAGTCACGAGACGTCGATTCCGCCGACAAATTTAGCGGAGAAATCGATGTCACATCACGTCACACGACCACGAAACTAAGACGTCAATTTCCGCTCTAAATTGAGCGGAAAAACAGGCAACCGCGAGATGTGGTGTCGATCATATGCTGACAATGTTCACCATAGAGTCACTGTATAGGTTCCCGCGCTGAAACTGAAACCATGTCGCCGCTATCTTGGGTCCACGCGTCAACGAGGCTATGAAAGCGTGTTGAAAGAGGTTTATTTAAAGTGGTCGATGTGGCTACACAAAAGCTTCTGTGGTGCTGTGAGTAGCTTCCGTAGATAATTAACATTGCATGACATAATTTGCTGGCTGACCCTTCTTTTCCTTGGTTGCGATGACCAAGTCCAGCGCCAAGAATCGTAGGGACTGCGCTCCGTTCGAGGAGCTTTCTGCATTCGGCTCTATGAGTTTCGAATTGAGACTCTTCGAAATGATCCTAGAAGTCATTGTAATAAAAAGACGTAGCATGTTGAGGCAATCTGATAGGAAAACACTGCCTTCTGAAAGCTATTCAGAACCATTTCACGAAACTAGGAAAGCAGCGAGAATATAAACTGCATGAAAGCAATTTTGCCCAGAGTCACAAGGACCCGCTTTAGTTGGGTACGTCACTCCAAGGGGCAATCCCATGCGCGCGACCTTCGATGGGTTAGCTTAAGTTTGCTACAGATCTAAAATTGCGAGAGATCTGGCCCAACACCGGCTTAAGCTTAGCCCGTCGCTTACCAAATCGCAAGAGCGTCGCTCGTGCGAAACCGAACACAGCTGACGCCTGTTCGACTGCGAGGCAACGAGCGATACGCGGAATGAACCAGGTGTCATCGGCACTCGCCTCACAAAGCTTGCTCGTTGCAGTGGGCTAGAAATCTTTCCGTTTTCCTATGGCCAGCGGAGCCTTCTTCCTCCGTCTTGCAGTTGCGTTCTTTCCAAACGTTATCCGGAAGAGTGTCTTTCTATCCTCCGACTTGCTGCTGCACCCAAAAGCGCAACAAGCAGGCATTGTGCCACTAAGTACACAACCTTCTTGCTTCTGACGTCGGTAACCGCGTGGAAAAGACGGCGCGTAAACGCGAGTTCGATGAGCAGCAGAGCGTGCGTGTGCGCACCTGTTTGCTGGACCCAAGATGGTGGCGATTGTAACCGCTTGAAGCGCTGACGGAGGTGAGTCCAGCGGCCCTTGTGTCACTTCATCGCTACGGTTCAAGGATGCTCGCCAAGCCAAAACATGATCGGCTAGAGTGAGTATGTTGTCGGCAAAACGGAAAAAGAAAAGGAATGCCTTACTCTGGGAACCCATACAGTGAATCTAGTTGATCATAGCCACGGGCTGGGGTTTCGCAAAACACAGGGCATTAAAAGTGTCGCAGACATTGTTGGTTTGGCTAATCCCGTCGCAACGATTGGACACGGGCCGCTACACGAATGTTCGTCGAGGCATCGATTGGCACGAGCCCAAGTCGAGTGCTGACGCGATGCTCGTGACCAATATATGAGCCATTCCACTCTCTGAAGGTGGATGACCAGCGAAGCTGTTCAGCACACGACACAGACGTGACACAGAACTTAGCCTATGCTCCATTCCAGTTGTCCAACGTAGCAGCATGGTACCTGCGTCTTTTTGATGCGTTCTCGCGCGACGTTCGTCTTGTCCGGTTTGCCGCATGCGCTTGGCGTTTTGTGCACGAACTTCATCGGTGGTGTTTGCCACCCACCGAGCGCCGTTGACATTCTCGTTGCCGTTCCCACCGTTGCTCTTCGTAGGCGCGTTGCTCTTCGGGAGTCCGCGGCCTCCCCATTACAACGAGACAAGTGAAATAGACCTATTGTTAAGTTACCCGAGCATCAAGAAGAATGCAGGGAATTGCGTTTCACGCGCCGCAGGTGCCGGCATCTGCAGCAGTGACTGTTCTAAAGCAAAAACCTAAAACAATTAGCATCTTGCACACGCGTTCGTCAACGCTTTATTTTTGGTTGTTTACTTCGAACCTTTTATACAAAGAAGGCGCTGCGAGCGTGGAGTTTTTGGCCACGCACACGAAAAATCCATACAACCCTAGCCATAAACAGCTTTGCTGTAAAAAAGTCCTTGAAGTTACACCCTGACAAAGAGACTTCTTGGACAGTGGCGTTGCGTGTGAGTATTCTTGGGAACCCCGTATAAAATAAGAAACATTCCAACTCGATATGATTGAACGACTCCTTTAACTATTCATAGAGTGTTTCAGAAAAGTGTTTGCCTAAGTCACGAGAAAAAAATCAGACATACTCTCTAAATGAAACAGTAACTCAGACATAATTTTATTACTTCAGTGTGATCCAAAGAGCTCGGCCTGAACACCGCACAAAGTCTGTTTGTTTAAAAAACAAAAATTAACAAGCAACCTGGGTCGGGGAACTGGGAAGACGTCGAAACTTTCGCGCACACCTTAAATAGGACGCAAGTAACACATTTTAGCAGAAACACTCGAGTCACCACTATACACATTTTCTTTTCTTTTCTTATCTTCAACAAGCGGGCTACAGAGCAATCCAGGAGACGAAGGCAGATTGAGGCATCGCCCGCATTAAGACCACTTGCTATGAAACAGAGAATAAAACACGCAGAAACTTCAGCGCGCTCTTAAATAGAATTCAAACTCCACAACATCAACAACCAAGGAGGCCTCAACAATTAGAATTTTAAGCTAGGAGAAACACTGTACAATTCAACAAATAAGAAATAAAAACACCCATGAAATACAATGACAACCAGAGGTGATTTAAACCCTAAAGCGAAAGGAAAGGACAAACACTAGACATGAAAAATGAGAATTCACGGTGCAAAAGACCCTGCATGCTCAAATAAAAAAAAAATAAAAAAAATCGGAAGCAAAAAAAGAAAAGCAGAGCTAAGTGAAGCATTGCGACTAAAGTAAAGTAGACAAAAAAGAAAAGATAGATGCCTGAAGAATGAGAATTTATGCCAGAAGAAACATTATGTACTCAAGCAAAGAGACATTGCGTACTCATACAAAGAAAATAAGAACGACTTAAAAAGAAACAAAGGCAGTAGTAAGGGAGGCGATTTTACCCGAGATTGAGGTTCCCCGAAGGACGACACAAACACAGAGAAGCCTAGAAATTCCCGGTGTTCGCGTCACCCTTTAGAAAACCCTAACCTCGAGTAAAGTCACTTCCTTTTTAAAAACCCCACAACCTCGGGTAAGTTTGTTCGAGAGCATTCTGCTCGAGAGAAGGACGCTTTCAAGCAGAATCCTCTCAAGCAGAACAACTGTCGAACGGAACACAACGGACAAAGCACCCAGAAGTCAACCAAAGACCGCAACAAACACCTCACGCTCGCACAAACTGGTAGTCCTCACGTGGGCGGCGGAGGACCTCCGTCTCGTCGGTGCAAGTCTAGGTACGGTCCCCTGAAGCTGAGCGCGTCCCAGATGGAGTCGAGGGTCCTCAGCGGGCGCGGCTCGCTCGACGCCCCCGGCAGCAGAGCCACCAGCACGCTGATGAGCGCGGCAACCAGCAGGAAGCCGCTGACCACGTAGCGGACCGCCGTGACGCGCTCCGAGGCCATGGGCGGGAGGCGCCTCTTGCCCGCCAGGACGCGGCGGCTGCTGTTCAGCCTGCGCCAGGGGAAAAGGCTCTTTTTGAGTTCCAAGGACCGAGTTAGGGTTAAGCGACAGTTTACGGGATGCTCGTACATCCGACAAAAGCCATGGCGTTCTTTGCGAAGAATATGACAGAACTACCTGCAGACACGCCTCTGGCAATTTCGAAGCACGCTTGCTTCGTGCAAATGCATGCGGAGACCGAATCTACGGATAGTGTTTCGTACGACCAACGTGACCTTTGTACGAGGAAGAAGCGTGCCTCAGACAGTGTTTGCAGACTGCCTTCTGCGCGACGTATCAGCAGTGTGTGTGTGTTTGGCTTTGGTGGATCTGGAGCGATCCAAAGGCACTCTATGCTCGCACTTCAAGAGCGGAAAATATGCCGTCGCGCACTTCCACGCGCGAGAAGAGGGCAACGAAAATAAGCGCTCCAAAACCGCTCCAGGGCCCGTTTGCTCGAAGCGCTAACCGCGGCTAAAGTTAGCCGCAGTACCTAGGAGAGGGATTTTGAAATCACGTGACTGGCTCGGTAGGGATGCGGGGAAACATGGCGGTGCCCCGGTGAGTGAGCGCCGCTCGCTTTGGAACTAATATGTCGTTGTAGCCACAATATCGGGCGCGTTAGTCGGCAACGAATGGTGCAGGAGGCTTTCGCTTTGCCTTACCTCACTTAAAATGCAAAGCATGGGCAATGACATCGCCGAATTTTTTAGATAGTGTTTCGATTGTGGGCACTCCTAAGCCTAAATGAACGCAATAATTGGTGGCATAGCAACGTCTTTGGAAAGCGGATTGTTGATAGCACACAAAAGCAGACAGCGTCCCGACAGACTTTTTTCTAAATTATCCAAGCATCAGGAGGACATTGCTAGAAGTGTAATTCTACGGCTCACGCGCCCTGGCCTTCCTCTTATAAAAGTTTTGAAGTAAAAAATCATAATAAGTCTTTAACGAACGCGCGTGCAAGGCAAAATTTGTTTTATACTTTTTGCTTTAAAGCGGTTACTACTGCAGACGCAAGCACGTGCGACGCGTGCAACTATAGTCATAGCATGCACCTCGGTGCTTGGATAATTTAGAAAAAAGGTCTGTTGGGACGCCGTCTGCTTTTGTGTGGTATCAACAATCCCCTTTCCGAAGACGTTGCTATGCCGCCAATTATTGCGTTCATTTAGGCTTAGGAATGGCCAGAATCGAAACACTATCTAAAAATGCGGCGAGGTCTTTGCTCATGCTTTGCGGTTTAAGTGAGGTAAGGCAAAGCGAAAGCCTCCTGCATTATTCGTTGCTGACTAACGTGCCCGATATTGCAACCACAACGACATATTAGTTCCAAAGCGAGCGGCGCTCACTCACTGGGGCACCGCCATGTTTCCCCGCATCCCTACCGAGCCAGTCACGTGATCTCAAAATCCCTCTCCTGGGTACTGCGGCTAACTTTAGCCGCGGTTAGTGCTTCGAGCAAACGGGCCCAGATCCGCCGAGAAAATTCCCCGTCAGTGACGTCGAGGAGCGCGGCTTTGGAAAGACAATGCTCGGCTCGATGCCGAATGTGCCGAGGCACATTGGGCATAGCAGCCTTTTTTTTTAATGCACCAATTCAGAAAAAAAAAGGAAAGGACGGGATTAAGATATCTTAATACCACGAATTACGTCGGGAGACACAAACTGCGCACATTGTTTCGAGCAGCGCTGGACGTCTTTATTTACCACCTTTTCTGCGCTCGTGAAATGCGCTAAATCCTACTCTGCCGAATATAAAGGGGAACCCGAATTCCAGTTCCCCTAAGTTTAGCTGGGAACCGCTTCTTGTCAAATTTAGCGGGGGACCGGAAATGGTGTTTAACTATACACGAATTAAATTGTCCCGCGGGGCGTGAAATTTCGCACGTTGCACTCTCGCGCCACGGTTTTTCTGGGGAACTTTTCTTTTATGAAACCCTAGCCCCATGCACACTCTGCGCAAGGAAGGGCACCGCCGGAAGCTCCCGCTTTCCCCAAAGGCAGAGAAATTAAGCTTTTGTACCGAGTGAAGTTTGTGACACCGCTGTCTCTGGCAGTTTTGAGGCAGGAGCTTTCCCCAGGAACGGACCCAGAACTCCGTTTTTTTTTGTTTTTTTTTTTTGGGGGGGGGGGGGGGGGGGGAGGGTAGGGGGGAAAGTTCGTAAGAATACTATTCTCCCATTCTTTCTTGTGCACCGGAGGGTCCACCCATGGCAAATCGCCCTCCGAGAAGGGGGGAGGGGTCGACTTTGTTTGGGGGGGGGGGGGGGGGGGGGAGCGGCCGTTTCCGTCGCCCCCCCTCCTTGGATCCGCTCCTGCCTCTCCCGCAGTTCTTACGTTGTAACCAGCGTTGTACGGAACAACGCTCCAAGAAACAATGTTTCTAGAATGCGTTCCTTTTAGGAGGAATGGAGGAACACCGCCGTTCCGTTTTGCCTCGGAGGAACTGGATTGGGAACTCGTTTCGCGGTTGAGGGAACGGCAGAAGGACCTGCGCTCCTTTTTGTAATTTTACCCGAATTTAGTAGGCGTTTGTCCTCGTTAGTGACTATTTAAACCTCCGACTTCGAGCGATCAGGAAGACACCGAGAAACACTCGAAAACGCAAAACTGGAAATGTGATTGTGCACACGACTCGACACGTAATTCGATGGGGATTTTTTCATTCGCTCACTTCTCTCTTTTACGAATTACTCAGCGCAATGTTTGGTTAAAAGATTCAAAGTTAACGTTAGTCTAACGACCCCTCCTAACCCTAAAAACGCAACGGGAACGCGTTCCTTCTGAAGCCGTAGAACTCGCAACGGAAACTCGTCCTAAGATTGAAAAGGAACGAGAAACGAGCTCTCGTTTCCGTTTTGGAATGGGAGCTACAACCTTTATGTACAACACATGTTGTAACTGTGGCGCCTAAAACGTGTCTCTTACGAGTGTGTGTCTAGCATGCCCTCATCTGCGGTCTCCCAATTTCCCCCCGATAACGTCATAGACGTGTCGTGACGCTGCCTCCCGGATTCCCGGAGGCGACACAGCAGTCTATGTGGAGACGGCAGATGCCCGTTTTCTGCTGTGGGTCGCTCATGCAGCTTGGCGCTCCACGGAAACTTGGGCAGCCGCGATTTGGGACGCTCCGACGAAGGCGACACTTGCCTTCGCTACTACTTTCTACCAAAACTCTCACGACTGACTGCCAGAGTGTATGACGGCGTGACGCGCTGGCTCCCGTGACCTGATCGGGGTGTCTGTATCGAATTGCCTTCTCTCAGGTTCCCCGACTTTCCCTAAATATTTCGATCCAATTCCCTAAATATTACGAGGACGTTCCCTAAATATTTCGATCCAATTCCCTAAATATTACGAGGACGTTCCCTAAATATTTCGATCCAATTCCCCGCCCGTTACGAAAGAAGAAACTGCGGAGGACGGGATGGCAGCGGCTGTTTGGGGTACACCCGTTTGGTCCAGTGAATCGGGCGGTAGCTTGCACGCTTGGCGATGCCTCGGGTGACCGCTATTCAGTGGTGAAGCCCATCCCCGCCAGCGCACTCTAAGCACCCTCTCGCCTCGTTGCGTGTCGCCGCGCCATCCACATCACCCGTTTCTCCCGACTTCACAACGTTTTGATGGCTTCCCCGACAATTCTCCGACGTTTCCAGGTGCTTTTGAGATATCCCCAAAATTCCAGAGTTTTCAGATTGGTAGACTAATTAAGCGTGCATACCGTAAAACCCCGTAAGGACGTCCGCCCAAAATGAAGAGAAATGGTGAAAAGTATCGGGTGGGCGATCTTTGGACATGCGAGAGGAAAACTTTATACAAAATTAGTGACAAACCCCGGGGCAGCCTTTACAAACCATGTGAAATGGGAGCTGATGTCACAGACCGTGAACGCAGCAGATGCGAGTTTCATGGTGCGATGAGCCCGCGGGAAACTGCTACGAACTCGTTTGCCACACGTACCGGTAATGCAGATCAACTTATTGATGCAAGTCCGGTCGGACATCGCATTATGTTACAAATATTAACCTAAAAAAAAGACTGGCATGGGCGATCTCTCGGGGGAGGGCGTTGAACAGGATTTTTACTTATCTGCTGCCACTCCAGGACCATTTTCGATTCGTGGGCGGTCCCAACTCACCAGAACTTGAGTCTTGTGACGACTATGGCCGCCCACTCGAGCAGGGCCAAATTGGAACACGCCATCCTCCCCTCGGTCTGGCCCTGACCGCGGCTCGGCTCCGGTTCGTCCTTGTCCAGCTCCTCGTCGTCGTTTAGGCAGTCGTCCAACAGGAGCGTGTCTGATCCTCCGGTCGACGCCTCTTGGGGCATGCCTTCGCTCACGGCGCTGCTGAAATGGCGAGGACCGGACGTCAGCGAAACTCAAAACACATCCACAACCCCAATCCCCTCAAAAATACGAAAAGAAAACCGTACAATGGACTGCAGCAAACGCTACGAGCCATGGGAGCCAATCGAATGACGGGTGCGTGTCAGGCGATCTTCGGAAGAAGCACATGGTAGCCAGGTGATATGCTCACAGAGCCAGATTGGCGTGGATTGCTCAAAACATCCGCTCTGATCCATCGTAAAGTAAAAGGGAGTAACTGATAGGCAGGGTTCTGCAATGTCAAAATACATATCTGAAGGAATTTCATAAAAGCTCGCAAGTACATATTTTTAAAAATCTCAGTATCATCATATGTGGCATAGTTGTTGCTCCTAGTCGATATTAAAGAGGTGTGGTTCCGTATAAATGTCGTCACCTTTCTAAAACAGTACATTTTGAATATCCGAGTGCTTAATCCACAAGCCTCTATACCTTTCAACTGAGAATGAAGAATCCTGAAACAATGAAAGCATGTAAACGGTGTTTAACCTGCTAAGCCAGAATTGCACGAGTTAAAAGAAAAAAATCTGGGGCATTGTCGAATGAGTATAGATAAGCCCTCACGGAAATAGGGGTCGAACAGCTAGATTACTGGCAGGAACAAAGCAGAAACTCACACTTCTTCGATGACCTGAGCGTTGAGATCTTGAGAAACGCTGGCAGACTCGGCGTCTGGCTCGGCGTCCCGAACGCCGTGGGAAGTCTCCGCCTTGGTGCTGCTGCAGGCTGGGATGTCTTCCTCCGGATGACATTCCCTGTGGCACACACAATCAGGTGCGTCACAGAGACGCCAAGCCTAATTTCTCTCAAACGCGTCGGCTGCAACGTGAGTCCCTCTAAGTAACCGCCAACCCGGAATTTGACCCCATAACACAGAAATGACCCGACAAAGAACTCTAAAAAATGCAGCTGCATAAGGGATGTAGCCAGGGTTTTGTTTCGGGGGGGGGGGGGGGGGGGGGGGGGGAAGGAGGCCCCAGCAAAATGAAAGATTTTGGGGGCGGGCCATGGACCCCCCCTCCTGGCTACGCGCCTGCCTTGCATCTACTTTTCTCCAGAAGATTGGAAGCAGCAGTGACTTGATAACTGAGCCCATGACCTGGTACAACAATTATATGGTAGTCATTACGAATAATCACATAATCAATTATCTTCTGGAGTAATTTTGTAATCATTTGACTACATTTATTAAGCAATCACAAAAGGAATCTGATTACTTTTTTTAGTACAAAAGTTACTTGTAATTGTAACAACCCCTTCCTTTTTTTTTTTAATGGCACCCTGTGTTTACAAGTTTATTACCAAGGAATCTTCGAACCAAGCCTCCAACAAAGGGGATGGTCTACCGAAATTGGAGGATTAAGATAAGTAGTTTACAATTCGGTGATCCTAATCCAATGATGAACCGTGCAGAAGACCCATGCACAAAATGGCAGAAAAATCTGTCGTTCTGAAAATCGGAAGTAATCGGAAAAGCAATGGGTCAGTTACTTTCCTTCTCAAGTAATAGAGGAATCTAACGAAATACTTTTTAAGCCAGATTAATTATTATTGTAATCAATTACTTTTTTTTTTTAGTAACGCGTAAAAGACTGCATGGAACTGAGTGATTTAAGGATGTGGTATGTCACGCCCAAGTCACGGTGCGAACGTCCTTTCTAAAGTCAGAACTTGTTTTTTCTGGCATCGTCGGCCGCCAAGCTCGTTCTGCAGACCGCAGGGGTTGGCACGATGTGCTTTCTGAGAAAGGAGAAGGGCAGGCGTTTCTTTTAGAGAGTAGCGTGCGAAGGCTGGTTTGACTTCCCAATTCAGCTCATCCGGAGAACCCCGGAGGAAGGGCTTTCCCACAGAAGCCCCAGCCACGCAGGGAAGACAACGAGCGAGGAGCAGGCACACAATTTCTTGCCGAAATTAAGATAGATTTGTATCGCAAAAGAAAAAAAGAAAGAAAAAAAAAAGTAAAATCGGAAGCGATATTCACGGACCACTACACAGCAGTAACACCAGATCACCACCTTTATCCGTTTAACGACGCCGCGAAAAATATGCCATTAAAACTGGTAGTGAGTAGGAATTCCATACCAAAATGAACAATAATAAAAAAAAAAAAAAAACCCGCAGATGTTGCATATGCGCAAATGGTGCCATGCGGTATAGAACCTTGAAATTAGCATTGATGAAATTGCGTTGACTTTGACACTTGCCGCTCTTTTATGGCAAGCTTTCTTTCTGACGTCCCGTCTGGACCTTTCTTGGCAGGCGCAACCGTCTTTGCAAAGCGTCGCTTTTTCTCCTCCCACTGCTCGCCCTTTCGTTGCTCTTTCGGGAAACTTTTGGCAGCAGGTCAATTATTTTCAAGGCTCGCGGGGTCGCCTCGTGCTTCTCCCGTTTTTCTTTTGTTTTCGAAAACTTTTGGCCGTTGGCCAAGTCTTTCCGAAGCATCGCGGCGTCGCAACATTTATTTCCCGTCTTCCAAATTTGTCGATATTTACGAGTTCTTGGCAGCTGGCCAAGTATCTTCCAACCGTCGTGGCACCACGTGGTTTTCTTTCCGTCTCTTTTTTTTGTGTGTGTGTTTTTGTTTAGGATATACGCAGGTGGTCAACTCAAATACCTTCCTCTCTGCCACATGATGAGCATTGCGCACAACGGACGATGGCAAAATCTTAGCTTCCGTAAGAATGCAATTCCGCATAAAAAGTACAAATTTTGAGCGCGTGTCCAAGGCTTGCGTGGCTTGCGGCTGACGTCATCGAACCGTACCAGGGTCCGATTTCGGTCACGGTGAGAGCGAGGCGCTTGTCCTTATACCCTGTTATTCACCGGTCGATTTCAGCTAGTGCACGGAAGCAGAACTTGATATTTGCGGACGAAGAGCGAGTTGTCAATGGCTTCCGACGCGAAAGAAGCAGGCGATCGCAAGTTCAGCCTGTGTCCGATCTCACTTCGCCGAGGCGCTCGATTCGTAGCGGACGATCAACTTGTTTTCCGGTCTGTTAGCAAACAACGTACAGTGTTCTCCTTTTTTTTTCGTTTGCGAATGACGCTTTGTAGCAGACGAACCGCGCTCATCGCTCGCGTTAGCAGACGAATCGTCTACGGACGCCATATTCGCTCACTCCGCGAGAAGTGCATTAGATCTCGCTGTCGCGGTGACCATGCTCGGACCCCGGTGGTTATTTCTGCTCAACTGTCCTTGCCGAGAAAAACAAATACCACGGTGAGAAGCACATGTTGCGGAAGGTACGCGTGCAGCGTCGAGGTCCTTCACAATGGCCGCAGACGTCACGCCGCGCAGTGCATATCGAGCGGGGATGACGTACGCTTTGACGACGTCCCTGAAGAGGCTGTGCGCGTCGTCGGACGACGCCAGGGCCTGGGCCATGGGCAGCGAGCATCGCCTGGCGCTCGCCCCCAGACTACGCAGCGCCCGCACGGGACCCGCCACCAGGTTGGAGTTGGGCACGCTGAACAGTCGACCCCTGGAATCCTGGAAACGGCCGGCCAAAACAAGGCAAAGGGTACGTGTACGTGTGTTTTTTAGGGTTTCCAAAGCTACATCAATGTGGTCTCTGCAGGGGAGTTATTCGACCAGGAGGACGTATTACAGCGGGCCAACTGTAATGGTAAGTCATATAATGAACTAAGATTTTTTTAATTAGCTTTTTTACAATCAGCGAAAATAAACAGATGGTTCCAATTAGAAACTTGCTGAGCGTCATCGAAAACCACTACATCGGTAATTCTGAGGAAGTCTTTGAGCTCGTGGGAAGCCCAGTAGTGCGCTAAAGTTACCACTCGTGAAACAGGCACAAGGCTGGAGGTGAGAAAACGCGGATGACAAAGAGACGGAAAAACCGGGTGGGCGCAGGTGTTATCGCGCGGGTGGCCTTGCTCCCGTGCACGAATGGTAACTTTAGCGCTCTCCCGTGGTTACAGTGTGCTACAAGTTTTTCTGTTTTTTTTTTTTTTTTTTTAATTTGACTCATCTAGTGGTTTTCGGCAACGCTTATGAAATTTCTAAAGGAAACCATCCGTTTATTTCCAGAAATTAGAAATAGTTAATCCACATATTTTAGTTAATTAGCCCCTTCGAAAGCCACTCGAAAGCCACCGAGTTTACTCGGTGGCGAGCGGCATTTGAGCCGAGTGACAGTCCACAAGATCCCACAAGTCGGTTTTTCCGCCGTACAGTCATTGTCACGTGCTCTCGATCAATAAGTGCGGATAGTCATAGGACATCCGTCTGTACGGTCAAACTGAAGCCAAAATAAACGCAAAAGCAAATTCTTCAGCTCTGCCGGGATCGCGTACCAACTGTTGAGATTTATTTTTTCGGCAACGCACGCAGTCAAAAATAATTCGAAATACCAGCCCGGAAGAAAAATCGAGCACAGACCTGTACTTAGCTCAAGTTAAAAAAAAAAAAAAAAAAGTTCACCGTTTTTGTGCAAGAGCGGCCGTATTATTATTTTTAATTTTTTTTTTATACAAAGATCCTAGCACCAGGTTTAGATAATTAAAAAAAATTATTCGTACACGCATTAAACTAACAAAGCCATTATAAACAACAAACCCACAAATCTAAAAAAAAAAGAGGAAAAACTGGCGGCACGAGACTCGTAACTAACCGGAACGATACAACAAAACCGGAATGCAAAACACAACGAGCCCCCTTTTTTTTTTTTCGTTTTAGTTTCTTTGATTTTTAATGGCGCCTGGGCAAAGAGCTCGTCCCAGCGGGAAGTGCCCGACATTCCTGGTCGACCGTTCGTCGTACTTTCAGCGCTTTGCACTTACCTCTCCCTCAGTTCCTGGGCGCCCGAAGGATGCCCTTCGGGGCCTGAGAAGCAGCGTGGAACAAAAGACAAAGACCGACACCTTGAATCATCCAAACCAGGGACTTCTCTTAACGTCGGTCTCAAAGGAAACAGACCGTCTGCACTGAAGGAGACTCGAAAGGACGCCTCCGCCCAATAGGGAACTGAGCGGCGTGTCGGCTTAACTGAATGAATAAGAAGAAAGAATAGGCTGTTGCGAGATGAAAGCTTGCTTGTCCGTCCCAATTGTGCGTTTGATTCTTTCAGCGCCAGTCTCCGCCCTCTTTTGTTGGCATCGTTGCAAGGAGGCAGTTCAGAAGCCCACTACACAGTCGGCAATGCAGACACTACGTGGGCTACGCCATTTTGGTGCTCACTGCAAAAGTGGAGCCATATAGGCGATCGTTACAATTTGCAAATGCTATTTCCTCAACTATAGACCCTAGAGTTATTATAGTTATCTAGAGGGAAAGGACTTATGCATTCGGGCCGCTTCGGAACAGCGGGGAGTAGACGCGGAGGGCCCGGTAGGTGGTGCCGATGGCCCCGAAACGCTGGCGCCGCCTTAATAGACACGAAGCAGGAACTAAACATCCCACCTGTAAGGTCTCAACAACAGCTTACTTTGCAGGAGAACACCAGGATCGCGCATTGTATGAAACTAAATAAAGTAGACGAGCGCTCGAGCAACCTCAACTCGTCGCGGCAAAACGAACACGCCTAACCTTTCGCATGCTTCTTTTTTTCCCTCGCTTTTCAGCCGCTTTTTTTTTTTTTCCTTCATTTTCTCGGGATTGTCGATGCCAGCGTTCAGGATTTGCCGCGTTCTGCACCCGTCTTACCCATCCTGCTACAGACACGGTATCGTCGAAGCACAAGGGATGTCGTTTGGCTCTGTCGCGGACCGTTTGTATAACCTTTCTGGTGAAGACGGAAAACCGTGTAACGCGATTCCAGATAAAGTATCGAGATAACTGGCAACAGTGAACTGAAGCGTCAACACAGCTCAAGTATCGTTGCTTCGAAGCGCAGCCTGCTCACGGGCTCCAGATGCGCCTTCCAGCTATGGCAAAATCAGGATAGGGACCAGTCAAGAAAGTTACCCCCGAGGTTTATTTTGGCGGGACAACACTAACTTTGATACTTTCTTTTTTTTTTTTTTTTTTTTGCGAAGCGGATGAGAAGGTAGGATGGTGACAGTACAATGACGCCGGCGCGGGGACTCCCACATTCGTCGACAGACATGGTAGTTCCTTGCAGTGCAGTAAATAGAAAACACAATGCGGGATGTAATGGGCTGTTCTCATAGAGTGCGCCTTCATCCCATTTTTGCTATGCACAGGCCGCCCCCTTAACGGGAGCGGCCGTGCAAGTTAGCTGCACTAGAGACCACGACAACCCGCCAAAAGTCAGCTTCACGGAGGTTCTTCAATGGACAAGGTGCACAGAAAGCCGCACAGCGGTGGGGACGGAACACCAGGGGCCTTCGCATAAGCGAGGATATATTAGGCATTCAGGTTTCATTGCCCACATAAGAAAGGGACAACCACATCTTCAGGGAAGAGCCAAGAACATTTGAGTCATCAATGGGAAAGCCAGGGACCATTACGCCCCCAAGGGAATAGCAGGACAGGTTTAGGCTTGAGGAAACTATACTTTTTTTTTCTACATTCAGAGTAGGTTTATTACTCAGACAATTGCATTCCCGAGGAAAAACCCAGGGGACAAGAGCAAGAGCATCTTCTATAAGGTTCAGGAACCATCGCGTCCGTGACAAGTCCAGGGACCACCAGATGCTGAAAGCAAGGTTAGGGGACAGGTGTCATCGAGAAAATACGCATACCGCTGAGGAGCAAAAACGGGCATTGCATCTTTTGGAGGGGCCAGGAAGCATTGCGTTCAAGACAAACGACCAATGTGAGTTAAAAGCAAGGCAAGGACGTGTACCTATAAATAGTACAAGTACGCGTTACATATTTCGAACGGAGCGGGCACCATTAGTCATCAAGAGATGTCCCGAAACGATTGCATTCCTAAAGGAAGGCTAGAGAAGCTGTTATCAAGGAAGCCCATAATTGGATTGCCAAGGAAAGTATGTGGCAGTGTCTCCAGGGACCACTGTGTACTCAGGACAAGGCTAGGAACCATCACATACTCAAAGCAGGAAAGAAGCACATATAGTAATAAAGGATAGGGTTTGCACTGTTGGACAGCCAAAGGAAGTCCGTAGCAATGTTTCCTTTAAAGCACCAGGGACCTTTGCGTGCCCGAAAAAAAGCCAGGGAAATTCGCATGCTCAAGTCAAGGCTAGGGACTAGACGCCATTAAGGAAATGGCGTGAACCGTTGGAAGACGGCCAAAAGACGACGAGGGATCAACTGCGTTTTCAAGGGGGCAACATGAATGCGTACCTGCTTGAAACGAGGACGAAATAACAAACACATGCCACACAAGCAACAACGTCACCAACATGTCAGTAATGGAAAGGGAAACGAGGAAGGAAAATGGACGCCTCCGTGAACTGGGTTTGCGGTACAAACAACATAAAGGCCGGTGCCCACACAAAGAGGGGGAGGGGAAGGGGCGGTGCGTCCAAACCCTTGCAGCCGAGAACGATTCCAAGAACGATGCTCCGGCTTACAACGAGTGCAACGGGGATGCGGGATTCCTCGTTCGAGGGGCGACGCAAACACGCCACGCTTGCCCGGCGGCGGGGATCCTGCAAGGGCAGTCCGCCGATCAAAGACAATTCAGGTGGCGTCCCCTTCATGTCTCCGGATACAAAGAAGGGCACCTGGAAAACTCGCCGTGGGATTACAAATGCGCAGAAACGCCCAGTTAACCTATGTACCTGACGACTTGGGAAACGCGGCTATAGCTTCCGTGATAACCATTCTAGCCAGGATCACGATAGCTAGCCTGTTAGGTAGTCTTTGTTTCCGTGCACGTTCACCATCCGACGGTATTCCTGCGCCATTATAGTTGAGCTTCATTCTAAGTTAAAAGCTAGACTGTATGAAGTTAACCTGTAACTTGACGTCTTGAGGAATGCGGCTAGCTTCCGCGATAACCATAAGAGATTGCAGCCACTATACCTTTGCGACAAAGTCTACCACAATTGCACGCTTCAATTACTCGACGACCACAATAGTTAGCTTGTTGGCTCATCTTTGTTTACGTGCACGTTCACAACGGTATTCCTGCGCAATGTTTGTTGAGCTTTGTTCTTTGTAAGAAGTTAGACTGTCCGAAGTAATTCTACGCGCTTTATGTCTCGAGCAACGCGGTTAGCTTTTGCGGTCACCACGAGAGATTTCAAACGTATATCTTTCCAAGTTGCAGCAAAGTCGAACGTCATGCCAAGCTTCAGTTTCGTTGATACAAAGCTGTAGATGCCAATTTCACGGTCATAATAGCTAGCTTGTTTGTCCACCTTCTTTCATGCACGTCCACCGTGCGACAGTATTCTTCGTTTCTTGTTAAAAGCTACCAGTCTGAAGTTCATACTATACGTATTTGAAGTCAAAAAGAATATGTCTATACTTCGTTCCAGCTCAAGTCCAGACGCAGCAGACGCTACGAGATGATAGGACCAATCAAACAGCGGTAAAAGTGCAAGTCACTATGTCTTTTCTGTTTATTATTGGTTCAGAGGTCATAGACATATAAACAAATATGACGAGCACTATGATGATGGTGCGCTTTTAACGCTGTCTGATTGGTTGGCGACCACAAGAGATTACCGTCTCTGTACCTTCGCATGATTGCAAGAGCAGCAACGTGCCAAGGCTCGAGTCACTTCACGAATACCCGTATATGCTCATTGCGTAATCGCAATAGTTCCTTATTTGGCCCTTAGTTTTTATGCACGCCAATCATGAGACAGCGTTCCCGCCTTGAGTTACTTATCTTCTAAAAGGTAGAGAGCCCGAAGACACCCTACAAGCTGGGAGGATCTTTTTATTTTTATTTTTAAGAACTAACGACTAAATCTGTTCGTCTCCAGAAGCCAGTTTCCAGTCAAAAGAATCCTGGTTTTGTGAGAAACGTTTTCTAAGCCTTCTACGCATGTGCCACTCATCCTACACTCTCGAGAGGCGTGAACAGTATAAATGAAGGGGAAACCCCCCACAAGTTACAACAACGGGAAGTGGACTACACCGTATGTCTCGTATCTATAAAAGTCCACGACACGAGTCATCAACAATCCATGGAATGTTGTGCAGCCACCCAAGTGGTGCAATTCAAGGTGCAGCAGACAGGAATGGATGCTTTGCCATGCACGCCACCCTCGATTCAGAAGGCAACTCCGCTCCCGCGACAGATGCCAGCGCCACCATCAAGCAACAATTGCAGCACACCGCGGAGTATACCATACTAGCACCACCCCCACCACTGCACAGCCCGCGCAACCCGCGCAAAACTCCATTTCCCACTGGCATTTAACAACCTTCAGACTAATTAACCCGTGAATATATATCGACCCATCCTCATTAATGCCTAAAGAAAGAAAGTTAGCTGCCCATACGCTTCTTGACGCAGAGCCAAGACCAAAACAAAAATAGTAACAACTATAAAATTATAGTGCGCTACAGATCTACAAGACTAGAATGAGACAAATATGGGGGCCATGCACTGAAGCACTATACACAGCTCACTTGCGCGGCGGGTTCAGAAATGTGCGTTTCACTGTCACCGACTGCGCTGCCGCCGCTTCTGACTGCTTACGAAGAGAGAATATACGGGCGCCACCTATCGGGTGGCCCCGGAACAATTCCCATCAGCGTGTAGCTACAGGCTGAAGGTTTTGCACTGTATGCGAGATCATATCTAAGCACTCTTTATGAGGAATGGCCGCTTTTAATTGTTGTCCGAACTATTTCGAGCCCACGGTGGAACAGTGACGCGTAAAACATTAGGAAATGTACGCAGATCGGTAGTATTCCGGGGCTATCCGATAGATGGCGCCAGCAATTTAACTTGTCGGAAGTCGTCACATGCCAACGAGGCCGATTACAGTCAAACGCAAAGCTGTGAACCAGCCTAATACGCCCCGGCCCCCCTCCCCCCCCCCCCCCCCCCAAAAAAAAAAATTAAAATCGCAGTTTGTATAAAACAGCTTCTGCCTCGCTAATGCCGCAAATGACAATGCGATGAACTCGTGCAAGTACTCCAACAAGCGGCAATGCCATCACCATCCAAGCATGCAGCTAGTCCGGTCTCAACATAAACCCAACGAGACAGGGCAGTATTCTAGCTGCTTCACAAACTTGCGTTACGTTCGTCTAAGATACTCAATAGGAAGAAAAACGCGACCGTTGAAACATAACGGAGACACCGACCATTGCAAAGAATACAAGATATAACAAAACTGTGACCCATATCAGTTTCAAACGGGTCCGCTTGCAACGTTTTTTTTTTTTTTTTTTTATCTATTGGAGAAAAAAGAGCTGGTCATTCCGCAACTAATACATGCGGAGCAGGTGGCGTGAGACAAACATAAAGGACGCGCCAGACAACGTAACAAACCGCGAGTCGTGCTCCCTCACGTGTTCATTTGTTACTTTCCTCTTTCTAAAGCGGTGTTGACCACCTACACTTCGCCTTCAGTCGTCTCACACGTGATATAGGACTGGCCATGGAGGAAAATGAACGATATAAAACATTCGACACGGAAATCATCCCTAAGTTTAGCGGGCTGACACCGGCGTGACGTAGCCCCAAGATTTAGAGCACGGCAGTAACGTGGTGCAACTACGTCACCGCGCCACCTGACGACCCTGTATAATGCGTCCTACGTACACGATTTTTGTTAGGGACGGCCAAAACGGACAACGAGCCTTTCTTTGCTTTCTGCTCGGCAAACGAACTGATGACTTCAGTCAGTTCATTTCTTCTTCTCTTCCGTATCTTAATTCCTCACCAACAACACCTACTAGATAACTGTCTATTATCTTAACCTTTTTATATAAATTATAAAAAAGAAACAAGAGCACAGGTTAAAAATAACCAAAACTAACTCAACATCTAATAGCTATTTATCTATATTCAAACGAAGGTCGCTGATGACTCCACTTTTTCTCGGGCTCGCCGTATAAAACATCGTACGGGTGAACTTGAACAAAAGTAAAGAAGTCCTTACCTCGACACCAAAAACAGGTAAAGAGTTACTCGTCGTAGTAACCCGTTCCGGAGAAGTCCATTTCCTACCTCGCCTTCCCCGACCTATGCCCAGCCAAGAAAGGACGCTACGCACGGAACCCAAAAGCCTCGAAATAACGAAGAATTACCGAATCATTCCAACGGTCAACGCAAGGCCGCGGTAAATTTCCTCATCCTCCCCCTTCGTACACGCACAGGTTCATTAAAATTCCCAAGGAACGTCCCAACCTTTAATCAATTAAAAAAAAAAACGCGTACCAATAAAAAAGAGAAATAAAAAAACGCACACAACGTTTTTTTTTATTTGTTTGCTTTTAGAATGAGAAACGAGGCGACGGCAAGCCGTTTTACACGGAAGCAGGAAACTAAACGGTGTAGAAATAAAAATAAAAACGCCACTCATCCAGATGCATTACTCCTGTTGTTCATGAAACGACCGGCGTGCCGCCCGTTCGTATGCTAGTCCAAACCCCAGTCACTTTTTGTGTGCGTTTCCATTCAATTACATGTTTACTAAGTGGAAAACGGGAATTTTCCCCAGCATTCGACGGTCTCTCGAACCATTAGCTGCTATTTATCACGCTATAGACGCGGCCTATGTTTACGGCGGTTTGAAGGACACCGTTCCATCCTTCATCGAAGTCACGCACCTCGCCGAACAAAGAGAGGGGCCGCACAGCGCAAAACATAGTTCGAAGTGCGCGCACGGGAGGAGAGAAGCGACCTACTCCGCGTCAAATGTACGCCCTCAGAGCAAACGGAGCGAAAAGAGAGTAACCGCTCTCCGTTCGTCCCCTGTCAATCCGGGAGTAATCCAGAGGGAGCCAGAGCACAGAATACACCCTTTGAACAAATAGTGCGAGAAGATAGCAAACCCCAACGTTCGTACCCCCTCAAACCGGGAGCAACACGGAGGTAGCCAGAAACAGACACAATCCGCCTAGTCGACGTCCTTTGAACAAAATGAGAAACAAAAAGAAGTAAGCGCCCACCGTTCGTTGCCCTTCAAACAGGGCGGGCAACTAGCAGGGAGCCAGGACCGGAGTAGCCCGCGTAGAATAAACCCTTCGAATAAATTGTGCGAAAAGAGAGTAAGCACACGCTGTTCGTTCAATCTCAATTCGGGAGAAACTCGGAGGGAGTCGGCACCGGAGTCGTCCGCACAAGCTACACGCAAAAAGGGGGTAAACGCCCACCGTTCTTTCCCTCTCAAACCGAAAGAAACTCAGAGGGAGCCAGAATCAGATAGTCCGTGCGGTCTACATGTTTTCAACAAAATAATCGAAGTGATCGAGCGCCCATTGTTCGTTCCCTCTCAAACCGGGAGCAACTAAAAGGGAGCCAGAATCGGAGCAGTCCGCACAGACCATACCTTTTCAACAAGCGAGTAAGCGTCCACCATTCTCTTCTCAAAACGCGAGCAACTCAGAAGGAACAAGAATCAAAGTACTCTGCGCAGACTACTCATTGAACAAACTGTTCGAAAAGGGAGTAAGCGCCACCGTTCGTATTCTGTCAAACCGGAAGCAACAATGAGAGGGCCAGTATTAGCGTTGTCCGCGCAGACCACACCCTTCAAACAAATGGTGCGCGAAGACCCCCCCCCCCCCTTCCCCTTCTCAAACCGGAAGCAACTCAGAGGGAACCAGCAGTGGAGTAGTCTGTCCAGACTAAACTCTTTGAACAATGCGAAAAGAGAGTAAGCTCGCACCGTTCGTCACTTTTTAAACAGGGAGCAACTCGGAACCAGAATGGGAGTAGTACGCGCAGACCTTTGAAGAAACGGTGAGAAAAGGAAGTATGCGGCCAGCATTCGTCCCCTCTTAAGCTGGGAACAACTCAGAAAGAGCAGAACTGGAGTACTCCGTGCAGACTACACTTTTTGAACAAGTGCAAAAAGGGAGTTGACGTGTCCGCCCGTCCCCTTCAAACCGGGAGGAACTCCGACGGAGCCAGAATCGGAGCAGTACGTGGACTACGTCCTTCGTACAAATGGTGCGAAAAGAGAGTAAACGGCAACACTTAGCCCCCTTTAGTCAAATGCCTTTACGAAAAAAAGAAAAAAAAAATCAACAAAAATTTGGTTTTCTTGAGTCAAGCGCCTTTTGCCATGTTTCGGGTAAAAAAAGTTCTATACCTCGAAAAAGACCGGTACCAAATACTCAAGTGGGTTCTGCCTATTCTGTATTTTGTGCCAGACACTAAAATTACTTCTGCGTTAACAGACCGTAAGCAGAATCCAAAAGGACTCGTAAAAGCGCCGAGACCACACATTTCGCTAGAGAAACGGGGCGGGGATAGTATTGCAGTCATGTGCTATAGTCGCTTACAAGTCCAAGAAGGTAGGAGAAACTCCTCCCACAAGCGTGATGCGCCCGTTTCAAATCTCTCCGCAGTCGAAAGAAGAGTTCACTGGAAACGCTCCTTGTTCCGCTTCAATGGATTCCAAGTTGTCTCCGACCCCACTTTTTAGGGAAGCGACCTTTGTATTCATTGGAGGGGGAACCGAGCCCCTGAAAGCAGCCTTTGTATTCATCGGAGGGTGAAGCTAAACCCCGAAAGTCGTATTTGTTTCCATCGGAGGGGGAAAACTCTAATCTCCCACTCGTGGCTTCCACAATGCTAAGTCAAAGTCGAAAGATAAAGCAAATAAGTAAAGAAAAGCAAGACCCTCCTCGGCGCGTTGGCCGCGACGTCACGGAAACGATGGGACGCTATTGGATGCGGAGGTGGCGAATGGATATATATGATTCCCTTTGAGGGGCATTTGCCGCTACCTTAAGCTGTAACCGACTATAGCACAGAAGATGACATCCGCGTACCGCAGGTGTTATCTTTTATGTGACCAGCAAACCCATAAAGCTACACAAAACCAAATTATTCAAATTCGAGAAAAAATCTATATTTTCTCATTAGAAAGAAGACACAACTCGTCAACTTGTTCACAAGGAAAAAAACAAAAAGCCCGTCAGGCGCTAAGCTTGCTGTACCAAAAAGGCATGCCCTTCCACGGCAAAGCAAGCCACGTGCCTCTAAAGCTTGCAAGCCAAGCTAACAAGCCAAGCCAAGCCAACAGCAGCAGACGCAAGGACAACCACAACCACAGGAACTACAGCAGGAGCGGTGCAACCAGGAGCGCGACCCGGTGGGGACATCGGACACAACCAGCGACCAGCAGAAGATGCACAACAAGCCACCGACAGTTCCATGCGCAAGGAGGAAGGGTCGTCCCATGCAGTCTTCTTGAGCATGCCGGAGACTCAGCGCACCTTGGTGGGCGGCGAGCCTGCAGCGACCTCCTGGAGCTGGTGGTCCAGCAGGAGCTTGCGGGCCTCTTCCAACTCCCGGTGCTCCTTCTCGGAGGCGCGCTTGAGGTTCTCCACGTGGGTGACCATCACTTCGAAGGCCCTGCTCATGCGTTCCTCCTAAGGAGACACACCGCGCCGACACAATGTCTCCAGGAGCTTCGAGTGGCGCATCGGGATGTAACCCGCTGAGAACCGACGTTCAGGTTGTCTATCGCACCCTCTTTCACCCTACGGGCCTTAACCCTAGAGGAACATGACTTTCGTGAAGCTCCACCAAAGGCGGTAGTAGTTATATCCGCATATCATAAAAATATTACTAAACCTCTATTCGTACCTATCGTCGGTGACAAGTTAAGAACTCAGTGCATGCTCCGTCCAAAGCGCGAGCTTTGACTTTCTTAATACCTGGTTGCACGAGCAGCCAGAGCACGGTGGAAGGCAACCAGAGCGGGCTGGAGGCGGAGCTTCCACTGCATCCTTAGCCTGTCACCGATTAAGATAACACCTTAGGACTATGGGAGAAAACACATTGGGTGTGGTGCGGTTAATTGCGGAAGACTAAAACTGTACGAATACTTTCTCAGGGCCCTAACCGTGCCGAAACACCAGAGCAAAAGAAAATACCTGAAGCTATTATGGCACCTAGAAAAAAATCCAACTTAGACAAGGAAAGCACAATGTGCGATGGTGGTGCAGTGTGTACCTTTCTTGCACAGCTTAAAAAAACGTTAGGCATGCTTATTAACGTACCCCCAAAAGGGTACCTCACACTGGAAGAACCTACACTGTAAGTGTTCCGATCATTTGCGGGACAAACAGCAGTGCGGCGCAACCAGTTACCCGACATGACACTCCCAATACAGTATAAAGCAAACTGAACCAGCCCCAAAAGTGCATAATATTCCATTTCTGTGCGTCAGATTGGAACGCCATCTACGGTTCGGGATTGCCCATAGAGTGTTCTCGCCACTGAACCAGCTCTCAAGGCCACGAACGCACGGCGTCCCCGCAGAGCGGGACCTCAATCAGTCAAAGCCATAAACAAAGATCGCCTACCGGCACCGAAGTGCAGAATCAACAACCGTTCATTCTGCCGTCCCCGTCAGCGATGTCGACATCGGGGCCGGGTGACTAAGTCCACGCCAGAGGCAGCCCGCGAGGCAGAAGGCGTCGCCATCAGATTTACGGTTAATCCCTCAATGAAATTACAGCGCGGACATACGCCTGTCGTTTCGCAATCGCGTGTTCGTTTCTGCGAATGCATCGGAGCACGTCACCATCATCGACATATAAAAAATAAAGAAGAAAAAAGGCGAGAAGGCCGATCGAGCTTTGGCTGGAAATACCACCGACTGCATAGCCGTACCCTTTGGTTTTGCCGCCGTAGGCCCATAGTACGTTTCGGTTGAAGGGCTGCCCCTCACGACGAGGCGATGCTCACGCTATCGTTTGGAATCGCGGCGGAAACCTAGTCTTTTGCAATCCCCCTAAACACCACTCCCCACGGCAAGAACGCCTTAGGGCAATACTGCGGCTCAGGAGGAATTACCAAGGGGTACCGTGCTCTTTTCCGTTCGGTTCCCATGTACATCTACCTTATACATCGTCCCGGCACGCGTGAAATGCGCTATTCGCTAGCGGCGGTAAATTCCCCGAGCAAATAACCTAACCCTGAGGAATCTGTAGCTCACAAATAAAGGGAAGACGATGGTTGTTTTAGGGATCGCGGTTAATTGGCGAGTCTTGAATACAGGTTTGAGATGATGCATTGAGCCGCGCGTCAAAAGGTATATATAACCGCCAACCATTTTCTTTTTTCCGGTGTGATCGACGAGAATACACACACGCCAAATGTTTAGGTCTAAACTGAACATGAGTGTCATACTCATGTTCGGTGTCACAATGCAGGCTCTTTTCTTTTTTAGATGTAAACTTTTTTCAAGCTTCATCATTCGTGGAGGTCCCTATGTAGATTGCAGCGATTGGCTTCTCTAAGTGATTTGCGGGAAAGTCGACGCTCTAGATTTATTAGATGTATACGTTCGATCAGCGCATGCGCGCGCGGAAATGTGCGCGCACAAATTGCAAGAGTCGCACACTAATCCGCATGGCGCAATAAGCCTCGTGCGGGCGGGGTCCCGCATTCCAGCTAAGTGTGCCGTCCCCTGCACACCTAAGCAAAACAAAAACAGCGATACCTTACGAAATGCTACATCGCGCGTTTTGATACGAGGAACGAGAAAAAAAAAACAAGAAAAAAACAAACAAAGGGCGTTAAAGTCAGTTCCGGTTATGCTAAACACCGCCCACAGAGTCCAACAACTTGCGCAGCAACAGGTGAGATTAGCAGTAACATGTTAGGCTTAAAGGATTAAGATAGGAAACTGCGTGTCGCAAATCGGTCCAACTTGTCGAGAAATTTCCGCGCAAGACGCTACACGCAGGGAGGGAAGGTGACCCACATCCACGGCGACCTTCCGGCGGTTTTTCTTCTCCGACACACACAGTTAGTAATCACCTCACAAACGTCGTATAGATGTACATAGCTATAATTCCTAGTAACCCTGACTCAAATTAACCTCCAGGTCCATAAAAATTCCCCGCCAGACCTCTCTAGCCTCGTCTGCATGCTGATGACGGGCGGAAGAAACTCTCGCGCAAACCGAGACCCCAATGCGAGCGATATCAGGGTCACTTAAAGACCACGCTCGAAGAACCTCGCGGAGCCTTTGTTCGAGCAAATGAGTTTTCCGGTCCGGTAGCAAGCTTTGTTCGAGCAACTTTCGCTCGCGGCATCCGTTCCCAAGTTTCGCTAGCGGCCTTTGTTCGAACAAGTTTCGCGAACCTTGACCTAGACGAAACAGCGCATACATCTACAATTCGTTCCGCCTCCAGTCCAGACGCAGCGGACGTCACGAGCTGATGGAACCAATCGGACATTGTCAAGAAATCGCACCATCATAAGGTGTTCGTCGTGATCCTCTAAGTGTTCTTTCATCGCGGAACCAATCATAAACAAAAAAAAAAAAAAATGCCCAGTGGCTCGCGCTTTTGTCGCTGAGGGTACCATGAAACGATTTTTTCAACATCTTCCTCCTTGGCTTTAATCCTCAACTCAAAAAGCGAAATGAGAAATCCCGTGATTGTGACGTGATTTCTGGGCCCCGTATGCGACGACTCCAAACTTCCACTGCGCTTTTCGAGCACACCGTGGACTTGGTCATTCGCAGGCGATGATAAGCGCGGTCACGGCACTCGTTGGAGCACGAACGCGAATCCAAATATTCGTCGACGGATTGATTGTGACAAACGTATATAGTGACGCACTGCTCCTGTCAAATTCGTGAGCTGGGGTCGGCTGGCGTGCTCCGTTACCGCGAATATAGCTTTTTTTTTTTTTTAATCTTTACAGATTTGTTTAGAAAAAGCCGTCAAAGTTACATGCGGTTTGTGCAGGTGACTTATATGGCCAGGAGGACATTATGGGGGTGGCTAATCTTTGCGATAAGTCGGATAATTAATCAACATTCGTTCATTAACTTTTTATTTAGTGAACATAGACATGTAGTTTTAATTAGAAACTTAGAAAGCGTCATCGAAAACCACTACATCTACTCTTTTTAGAACGACTCGAAGCCCATGGGAAAAAATTGGGGGCGCACCAAAGTACCCCTCGTGCAGCAGGCCGCAAAACTAGCAGTGGCGGAAAGCGATGATAATCTAATCCTCCGCAATCCGTCACTGCTAGCTTTCTAAACAATGGCAATCGAAACCAAGAAAAAAGAGAAATACGAGCATCGTTTAGGCCCTCAACTCGGAGCCAGAACAAGCGGCCGAGTGGCCTGATGCCGATATCCTATACGCCGCCAACGTTAATCATAGCCACGCGCTGGGTTTGGCAAAATAGAAAACGCGCGCTGAGCTCATGGCATTGCTAGAGTTCGGCTATTCTCATTAACCGCAGTAGTTGGACACGAGCCACTACCCGAGTGTTCGCCGAGGCACTGAACGGAAGTCAAGTGCTCACGCAGTTCTCGGGTCCAATCCATGAGCCACGCTCGACTGTCGCCAGGCGAGTGGTTTCAACCTCACAATTACCTCATCGAGCTTTGCGAAGACAAGACTGAAAGAAATACTCCACGTTTATCCTCTCAATTTCATCGCGACAAGAGATGCTTCTGAATCAGTGGCGGCCTGTGCGAGTATACTTTGGACAGACTGGAGGACCAGTACGCCTCTGCAAAGAGGCGTCCTGGTCCTATAGTCCTATACAACATAAAAACCCAATAACTACAAAGTGCCCCCTCCCCCCCCCCCCACCCCCACCCCAAAAAAAAAATATATATATATATATATCTTACCCATATAAATGTTTCATGTTAATAACTCCGAGTATAGACCGACACGCGGCTTTGACGCCAAGTCGCCACGGTGGCGCCACCGTCGGCACGGAGCAGGAGCAGACGTGGACAAACCCAGGCAAATTACCCGAGCACAAACTACAAAAGCCGGGAACGTAGAGATGCACGCACTTGCCTCGCTAGTACAAAAAAAGAAAAAAAAATAATTCGAAGTAAATAATTAAAATGAGGCGATGACGAGCGCAAGCGCACCAAAGTGCTATTTGTTCTAGGATTTCGCTTTAGGGTAGAGTTTGCGCCGCAGACGCCACGACATGTATACAGAGCGAGTAAGTGTTTAATATATGCCGGGTGTTTCAGCGAAGACTGACAAGAATTCCTACAATTAGTGTATTCCAGGTAAAGAGATCGTTTTCTAGGGACTGTATTACTCGTGGTGGCGGACATCAGAAAACGCGCGGTACTTACTAATTAGTTCGCTAATTAATAAAAATGACGAATTAACTTTTTAATTTGTAGAATAGACATATGGTTCCAATTAAAAACTGGCTGAGCGTCATTGAAAACCACTAAATCGGTAATTTTCCGAAAGACTGTGAGCGCGTGAGAAGGGTAGCAGTACACAAAACTTGCCACAGGTGGAGCAGGTGCAAGGCTAGCGGTTGCGGTAAGGCGTCCGCGCGATTTTTCCGTCTCTTAGGAGAGCCCCAGCCTCGCACCTGCTTCACGAGTGGTAACTTTTAGCGCACTACTACGCTTCTCACGCGCTCAAAGTCTTTCGGAAAATGACTTATTTTGGTAGTTATCGATGACGCTCAGTAAGTTCTTAATTGAAACCTTGTGTCTATTTTCACTAATAAAGAAGTTAATTCGCGAACTAATTAGTAAGTATCAAATACAAACTTGTTTCGAGGCTAGGCCGTAATGAAGTCATCAGGGTAGACGCACCTGCTGCACGGCGCCGTACACCTCGGCCTGACTGGAGACCCGGTCGGTGGACTGCTGGATCACAGCCACGTGGTTCTGGATCTTGGCCACCGTCTCGCGGATCTTCTCGTCTTCCGGACAAAGAGAGTCCAGCTTCTGCGCATCCGTCCACACACACACACCCTCAAACTTCGCCAATAAAAAGGAACCTATGAAAACGTACTGGAATGAGGGTTGCAGTAACTAAATGCATTTTACAGTGCAATCGTGTAAGAAATTATATTTAAAAAAAAAATGCAACGCAATCGCTCACTGTTCACAACTGTTACCGTAACTATTCTCCGTTTCACTCTCCCACGCTCGCGACTGTTTACGACCGAGTGCCTCACAACCTCTTGCGATCCCGTGCGACACGAGGGGAAGAGTCTGGACATCTATGGTCCTCGGTGACATCTCGCCGTAGCTTCGCTCCTCCCAGACTCCTCCCATAGAAATGACGTCAGGCCTAGCAACGGCAAATGCCGGGCGAGCGGCGCGGGCCTGTCCACCATTACCGCTCCCAGGCCAACGCGCCCGTATGCAGGGTCGCATGGTATCCTGCGTACAAACCCTTATTTTCAAGGTTCCGGATGAGAAAATGGTCGGTTCCTGGCGAGAAGAAGATCCTCATCAAGGAGAGGTACATAACAAGGTTGTGGGAAAGCCTGCCCCAGACGCCCAGACCCTCTACCGAGAGGGACGGGAAGAAGGGACAAGGTCCTCCACACCCGCATCACGGCGGGCGCCACCCACTTCCCGGCACGCGTGGCCGCATGGAGCCAAGGGAGACGCTCTGGCACATGCAACAAATGCACGAACAACATAAAAGGAGACGCGACTCATCTCTTACGGAAATGCCGCTACTAGTAACAACTTCGGACCAAGTACAAACCCAATTGTGCCAAGAACCTGGATGACGAGCTTCACTCGAAGAAGTCACCAGACAAAAAAAAAAAAAAAACGGCCACCTTAGTCTTAACGAACAAAAAGTTGGGGCACAAACAAGCTGGTGAAGGTTTAACACAATTTTTGGACAAACCCCCGAGACTGGGGAAAAGACGAAGGACAACACAACACACAGTCTCTCTGTGTAATGTGTTGTCCTTCGTCTTTTAGGTATGAGTGAAAAAAGGAAACTATTTCATTTCTCCAATCCGATTAAAAAAGGATCCTTCTACAAAAAGTCGAATCAAAGATATAACAAACACTATTAAATCTCCTTGTAAATGTTTCATTTAATTTGAGTCGAAGTTCGTATCCACGGCTTATCGCTGCTGAAAAATACCGAAATACAGTAACGTTCGTTAGATTTTTGGAAGTGATTACGGTAACGGTATTTCGTGACATATGGAGGACGGTAACGAATCTCATTAGAGAGTTTTAGTAGATAGTTCCGATACCCTCGATAACGATATGATGCATGCGCAAAGGCGGCAGCGGAATATCGGGTACCGTTATTGGAGTCCACGGAACGATCTATTAAAACTTTAGTAATGCATTATTTCTTTTACTAACAAACGAGAAAAGCTATTCCGCTAATAACTTTCGGTAACGAACACAACACTGCTCACGAGCGTGTGTCACAACTCGAACCCGAATTTAATCTCTCGGCTTTATCTAGACGTAGAACACTGTCTCGGCTGTGCTTCTTTCATAATCTTCCACATGAAAGATCCACTTACTGTCATCCTCCAACCTAGATTACGTCCTCTCAAAATTGAACTGTTCGAATCGCGAACTATTCGACACACATTTTCCCAGCCTTTGCTGAGCATCAATGACTGGAATTCGCTGGCTGACCTGATAGTAACTGATGCTAACCATCTTTCGTTCAGCTCCAAGTACAAAGCGTTTTTGGATATGCATATGGTATTCGGTGTCTCTGCAATTCTTTTGCTCTAAAATATTGAAGAGTTTTTTTTTTTTGTTTTGTTTTTCTTGACTCGTTTAGATTTGACGGATGTTTGAGGATAATCAACTTGAACTGCACAGGATCTCGTCTGCTCACGGTTGCCAGGTCCCGGATGGCGTCCAGTTCCGAGTGGATGTTGCCCTCGGCGATGTCCCTGTGCCGCTGGTGGAGTTCGAGCCGCTTCGCCAGCGTCAGCCGGTCCGTCTTGAATCCCAGCGAGAGTGTGGTGAACTTGGTCTGAGAGTGGAAGACGGACAGGGGCCGAGGACGGAACCCCAAAGTTGGAAACCGTACACATAAAGAGGGTCGTTTCACGCTCCGGGAGTACAGCACTTTGGTCTTGTGCTGATGTCGTTTCAGTGACTTGGTGGAGGATGCTCGCTACCAGGGTATCCAAACTATAGCGTAGCTACAGTCCTGTCCTAACAGTAAACAAACCCAAAGTTGGTTACCGTTTAGACGTAACTCTCTTTCCTGCTGCTGATGTTCTCTGGATGTCGTCGTGGCGCATGTTCACTACCAGAACATGCAGCAACCGTTACTATCGTCCTGTTCTGAAGACCATAAACGATAACCCCGAAAACTAGGAGTTAAGCCTAATACATGCGATGAGAACAAAAGGGCCAGATAGCGATGAAATCATCGCTGCGTGAGCCATATATCTGTTCAATTGTGGTCGTATACATCAAGCATGCACAGGAAACCATCGAGACAAGCAAGGTGGTCTCTTACCTCAATTTCTTCCTCGCTCATCTGATCCGAACTGCAAGCCATGGAACAAAACCAGAAAACAATATATTCACTCGGATAAAAACTGCAACACATAACGCTAAACATGAGGTAACAATGCACATACTCGTGCATCACTTATTTATTCATTATCGGTTTCACATTACCGCCAAACGTTAGGGGCCAAAGCGGGACTGGAAGATATGAATAAAATGCTATACAATCGTGGAATTTTACAACGAACCCACCCCTCCAAAAGAGGCATACAAAAAAAAAAAGAAAAAAAAACACAAATAATTACACGTTAAAACAATCCTCATCCCAATAAAAAAAAAAAAAAAATGATGATGAATTCTGCACTAAGTGAGACGGCCTTCAGAGTGACTCATCCTCGAATCACTTATCGCGGTAAGTTATTTATCTTTAGTAAACGGGTGCCCACCAACCGATGGAACAAGATCGAGTACTCGATCCCTTTTCGCGTGCGACTAAAACCAGAAAAATAAGCGCGTGCAGATTTATACCCCGGAAAACGGGGAAGCAATAACCGATAACCCCAAGGGTATACACACCACACGACATGCAAATTTGGGGTTTTCACGTCCCAAAACCAACAACGAGGGCATCTGGAACGCCCCAGCAAAGGACTGACTCACACCCGTGCAACAGAAATCCCGGTTACACGGCAAGACCTTCTCCGCCACAGGCCTCCGTCGGACCACGGGAGCATTTCGGTCGGGATTCGCACAAAACAACCCCTTGCGAATAGACCTCTCCGGGAAATCCCAAAAGGCCTCTCGGCAGTCCCACATTGCACCGCGCGGCGCGGGGCATTATGGGGCCGTTCCGATGTACGCTCGGGTGGAAGTGGCTCGATTCTTTTTCTCTCACTACTGCGAGTTCCGAACACGAAGAAAACAGCGAAGACACCGCGAAGCCGAAACGTATACCCCGTTTTGTTATTGCCTCGCTCTCCTTTGCGGTTTTAATATCGCAAAAAATGCTAGGCAAACGTGAACCGCTCTTTCTATTCATGGGTACCCCTTAACGCAACGCACATAAAATTGCCGCAGTGCGTCGAAAAGACGATGGGAGGCGCGGCCGACGCTCATTCCTTCGAAAACACACCGTCATCAGACACCCTCATTCCAGCAACTGACGAGCCCGATAAAAAGTGTGTTCGTGCACTGAAGTGAACGTTGTGTCTCTAGCCTCTAGAAATGCAACAGCTACAACAAAATGGCCAGGGTCCTTTCGAACCTATAGTCCCCTAACACGCGCGTTCTCATTCAGAAGCGAGCATTTCGCTACGCCCACAGTAGCAGACGAGCTGGGAACGTCGAATGCAATTGGCTCCGATCAATTTCTTTGTTTTCTTAGGCGGTCGCTATCCGCAACCGAGGGACAATGTGGGCGACCCTAATGGTTTTTGCGCCAACGACTTCCGCGTTCGCGGCGACGGCTCGACGCTAGATCCCTCTTCACGACGCGGGAAAGAAGCCGTCAAATGTCCGTTGCTTGAAAACCTAACTACGGGGGTCCGACAGAGAAAATGAAACCCCGTTTCTTTTTCGTCCCCGTAAACAAACAACGCGTCGCAGAATGCGGAAACTCCGTGAAATTATGACGCCGCAGCGGTGGTCATAGAGAAGGCGAAAGTTTGAGAATATGAGGTTACCTGCATCGAACAGAAAAAAAACGAGATTTCTCTTCTACGAGTCCGTGCATCTATATATAGGCCCCATAGTCAAACCAGGAAATGACATTGTGGGCGCCAATAACATCTATTTCGGTAAAAAGAAAAAAAAAAGAACTTGTCACTAAGACAATTTTGTTCGCTTCCTTGGTGACAAGTTTCTTCCCCGAAATAAATGCCATGGGCGCTCGTTGTTGGTTTGACGTTTATCGAAAAGCTTTATTTTTTCGGTTTGACCTTTTGATCCAGGTAACGTCACCTTACCAAAGTCGCATATTACCGCCACCGCAGGTGTAAATTCACACCGAGTTTCAGCCTTCTACAATGGCGGCCGAAAACCCGGGTTCAATTGTGTCCATCGGACCTTGTAGACAACTAGCACGTTATCAGTTGAGTTTCTTGCGTGCTAGTGCAAGCCCAGCAAACGCGCCCCTGGCCAAATCTCCCGTGCACCTCGGCAGTAAATACGCGAGGGTATTTACTTTTATGGATTGATTCTTATACGTTCGTGACAAAGAAAGATTTTTTGTCCGTTTTCGCTACGACAGGCGACCTTACATCCACAGAATGTGTGAAAAGCGACGATTTCCAGCCTCTCATCCTTATTTTATTTATCAGGAATGTACCTTTTCTTAGATTATTCGATGCCAAGAAGCCTATGCTTTGACTGTATAGTTATAGCGGGTATACTAACTGGACGCCATATTTGAGTGCGCCGTTTAGACCACATGCTCAGAACGAGCTCACATTACTCAGCTGCCAAGACCGGCAATCTTGACGGCATGAATGCACGTTGCGAAAAAACTGTGCAATTTTCACTATGATACATGTTTTTAGAAACTCTTTAGATATTTATATTGTGTGACAAAGCTGCCTTTGGAGTGTTTTCGTTCTGTTTCTGATACTGTTTGTTTGCCGCGTAAAGGAACTAAGTTCATGTTTTTATAAATCCCTGGATCTTTTATTTTCGTAACATGCTTTTTCTTAGATGTTAGTATTATTTTCATTGCTGCCACTGTAAGGGGGCCGAGCACTCGTCAAGGCTGCCTGTGGGTAGCTTTTTTCCCTCGGTCTCCGCCACCAATGAATGGAAATAAAAGGATTTATTATCATTACTCGACGTCCACTATTTCCTGCTACATTGCCAAGGCCAGCGTAACGTCGACAGCGTTGCAGCTGCACGCTGCTGCGAAAGTATACTTGACTTTATCTCGCGCCTGATTTCCCGCAACTAGCTTTGACAGAGTTAGTTGGAGTCAACGTTACTAAAACACTCAGTTGGGAAACTCCCATACAGACGGCTTTGAGAAAGTGGCCCCAATCCGTCTCCGAGCACCGAGCTAATGACGAACACAACGCCACCATTACTCCCGCAGCGGCCACTCGAGGAACTGCACGTGACTTCTATTTTGGCTTTAATAACAGATACAGCGGAAGAGGTTACAGGGGTGCCATCCCCGTCTCCCCGGCGCACGCGCCGCGTCGAACTACCGAAGTTAAAATGCACCTAGGTCAGGACGTGCTACCTGAAAGGCCCGCTGAGGCATGGTTGTATAAAAACAATATTAATTGTTCCTCAAAACCTTGCGAACTAAAGATGATAAAAACATCACGCGTCCCTTTTTTGGTACTAAACTCCAATAAATGTCATACAAGAAGAGTCTTTTCCGTTTGTTTTTACGCCAAAACAGGCTTTCAAATAGCTCAAGGTGACCACAGTACAGACAAACGATAAAGAGTGGCGCTGTTGTCGCATTTAGCTCGGTCTCGGTGGACGCCAGCGGCCCAGGTTTCGACGGCGAGTTTCCCAACTGAGTGTTTTAGTAACGTTGGTTGGAGTACTGTGGAAGCAAAACTTCGCCGCAGTGACGTAGCACAAAATGCAGCACGAAATAGGCAACTGCAGCACCCGCATACACTATTAGCACAAACAAGCGATCGACTTTTTTTTTTTGCTTTTTTTTCTTTTTTTATTTCAGGATTATTTTTTTTAGGATAGTAGTGCAATGAAGCTTACTAGAGTAGTAGAAAGTGCTCATTTGAGACCTATCCTGTAAAACTTGATGCCTGCCCTTTCGACGTAAAAAGCCAAAAGCTCCAACGAACGCGAACGCAAAGAAAAAAATACGAAGTTCCGGACTGGGTGTCGTGCCGATGGCGTCGTTCAGTGTGCACGCGTTCGCAAAGTTCCCCCTGGCGCTAGGGCAACTTGACAAAAAGAAAGCTCTATGCTTGACCGCATACTGTGAACGAGTTCATTTTCGCAGGCAATATTTCGTGAATTCGGTAAAGTGTCCGGGAATATTTCGCGGGCTAGAAATTTCGCGAATCAGGGTCAGTGGCGTAGCTAGGAATCTTTTTCTGGAAGGGAGAGGGGCTAAAGTGGCTGGGATGTCCATGATTTCGTGTGTCGAAGGAAAGGAAGGAAGGCCAAAATGCATGTGTATTTTACAGGGTTGGCTGGATTTTGGGGAGGGGGGCTGAAGCCCTATAAGCCCCCCCCCCCCCCCCCCCTGGTTACGCCATTGAAGGGTGGTATGCATCAATGGCGAGACCTCTTTTTCGCGAATCGTGGGCGACTCGCGAAAATTAAGTCCTTTACAGTATTTCGGTCAATTGAAGGGACCATGAAATGACCTTTTTACTTTTTCCCAGATAACTTTTACATTAAACCGTCAATGTTCACTGAATGCCGAACAGGCATCCGTTTTCGTCTCGGTTTATTAACTTCTACACAAAAAATTAATGAAATATCGACTTTTTCTTTCTCTCCAACTGACCGCAAAACAAGCCGTGACGTACACTGTTTCCGGAACCGGAAGTTCTCTCGGCAGTAGGAGAACGGGAGCGTTAGCGGCGACGAGTTGGGGTGCGCCGGTAGGTTTTACTGCGCTGATGTCACCGACGTATTTTCTGAATCGGCGCCTCTCATCGCCGCATCGCAGCTGAGCGAAATTCCATGAGATATGTTGCGCTATAGCATGGGACTAGTCCCATACGCCGGTATGCCTGTTGGGAAGTGCAGCGAGTCTTCCGGTGAAGACTCCAGAAGTCAACCCAACTGTCATTGTTGGTAAAAGGCGGCCCGTGTCAGTCGTTTGCAAAGCGACGTAGATGGAAACAAATTGCCGTGGCGTTTTTCGCGGCCTCGGAGATGCAGGAGCGAGCCGACGTTAAAAAAGATACGTTTCAAGTACGAGTGTCAGCAAGAGCCACGTAAATACCTGTTCACACTCGGAGCGGACGCGCGCGTTTGATGGAAGTGCTGTATTCGCGCTGTTGGTAAGCGCTTCGGGACCGATCTTTCACGATTGCAACTCGATACTGA